TGTAGCTGGATACAAAGTCAGCACTCAGAATTATCAATAACATTCCTGAGAATACAAACTCACTGAGAGAGAAATTAAGGAAATCATAACTTTCACAATAGTATCCAAAATAAATGAAGGGCCGGGAATTTAGCTCAGTGGTTCAGCTGCCTGTTTTGCAAGTGCAAGGTTCCAAGTTCAATCCCCAGTACCAATAAATAAATAAATAAATAAATAAATAAATAAATAAATGAAATTTGAGACCTGGTGCTTAGAAAGACAGAAGTGTTAACTTGGTCAGTGGCTTTTGCGGGGTAAGAGCCTATACAATTTATGAAGCATTTGCTTCCTGGAAGTTGAGGGGAGGCCACTCACCGGAAAAGGGGCAGTTCCTTGGTGAACTTGATAATTTGCTCCATCATGAAAGTGTTGATTTCTGCAAAGTGTGTGAGCAGAGGCAGCACTGGAGCCATGGCGGTCGAGTGCTGGTGATGGATGAACAGGTGAGCAGGGGGCTGCAGAGATCCGAATGTGTGTGAGAGGCCCTGGCCCCAAGGATGAAGCCTAATTTGCTGAAGGGCTTCCCCAGGCTGGGGAACTGAGGTCTTGCCCTCTCTTGGTGCAGGGCACACAGCCCTCTCCCTTGGGCCACCTTTTGGGAACCCTTTTGATTACATCTCAGCCCAAATCCTGTAGGGGCTCACCCTGAACTGAACAAACTGGTCAAACATAGTCACCACGTGGCGAGCGTGGGCCTCCAGCAGGGTCTGGACCATCTTTTTCTGCTCCTTACTCAGCTGCAGAGTCATTTGCTGGGCCCGCCGCTGGGCCTGCTTGGCTCGCCGCAATGCCAGGGCTTCTGCTGACAGTATCACTGTGCCGGGGGATGAGAGATGTGACCAGGCACTGAGCCCAGCAGACTGCACGTATCTCCCAGTCCCTGATGGGCCCTCCAGATGCCCTGCGCAAGGAACAGTGGGGGAGGAGGAGAGTTTCTGACGCTTCCTTGAGCTTGGCTCAACTCTTAGAACTTCCTTGAAATTGGCTGCTCCTGGTGGCAGGGGGCTCTTGCACATTTCCATCAACCTCATAGGTGCCCATGAGGCACTAAAGTAGAAAACTTCACTGCCAGAAAGAGGGAAGAGCGGAGGGCAAAGTGGGAAAGCTGTAAGGTGTTTGGCTTCTGGAAGAACATTGAGGATCTTAGTACCTAATGCACCACTTTATGCTTGCATTACATTGTAATTTTTGTGTGTGCAGTACTGGGGATTAAACCCAGGGCTTTCACCACTGAGCTATAATTCCTAGCCCTTCTTTTTATTTTCTATTTTGAGACACAATCTTTTATATTTTTATTTTTTATTTTTTGGTACTGGGGATCGAACTCAGTGTCTCACACTTGCCAGGCAGGTGCAGTGCCACTGAGCTAAATCTTTTTACATTTTAAGACAGGTGCTGGGGATGTAGCTCAGTAGCACCGTACCTGTCTGGCAAGTGTGAGACACTGAGTTTGATTCCCCGTAGCAAAAAGAAAAAAAAGATAATTTTTTTTTGGTACCAGGGATCAAACTCGGGACCTTGTGCCTGCAAGGGAAGTGCCGGGACCACTGAACTAAATTCCTGCCCCAAAAAAGATAATTTTGAAACAGAGGCTTTTTTATTTTGAGACAAGTTCAGTCCCAAAGTTGCCCCAGCTGAGCTGGAACTTATAATCCTCCTGTCTCAGCTTTTCAAGTGCAAGGTCCTGAGTTTGAGCCCCGGTACCAAAATAAACAAACAAACAAAAAAGCCAACTCTGAGGTAGACAGGGCAGATAGTATTCATCTACTTCAGAAATGTAAACAAGCTTAGATTCCAGTGACAGATCCAAAGTCATAAAATAAGTGATGCAGACTGAATTCACACCAAAATGTTTGGCTTCTATGGTTTTCTTTGTGTTGCTCCATATTATAAAGTAGTTGATATCATGGAAAAAGTGAGTCTGGGAGTCAGACAGACTTCCCTTTGAGTACTGACTCTACAACTTTTATGCTGAATGAACTTGAACAAGTTATTGTCTGTGAGTCCGTTATATCATCTGCGGGGAGCAGAGACTGGTTATGCAGAACAGAGAAAACAGTGATTAATTGGACCATTACTGAGTATGTGCTAGGCGACAGGAGAGGAAAAGCAAGCTATGATATCCAGGGATGGGCATTTCAGGTAGAGAGAATGCAACCCCTGGGGAGGAGAGCACTTGATGTGTTCGAGGACGTCGGTGTGGCTGGAATGGACAGAGCAAGGGGGAAAGAGTTAGGAAATAAAGCCTGAAAGGTGGGGTGCAGGAGCTCAGCCGTGAAATCACATACTTTAAGAGTGATGGGGAGCCCCTGGAGGTTTTGGGAGTAATAATGACATAGTCCAGCTAGCTTCAAAACGCTTGTTTAGCCTGCTATGTGGGAAATGTGCTGTTGGGAACAGGGACTAAGCGCAGACACAGGCAATGGATTCTTGGGGTAGTGGGATGCCAACTCACTGTCTTTCCTCATGCCAGCATCTAGACACTTCTGCAGCCTGCAGGCAGGGCAGTGCCGCCTCTGGGTCTTGCTGACTTCACAGCTTCCAGAAAAAGGGCAGACGAGACCAGTGCTTTTGCTGACTGTTCGTCTGTAAGTGACAGAGTGGATGTAGGGTCTGGGATGGTAGGGAATGGGCAGGTGAGCATGTGCGGAATAGAGAGGCTGTGGTCTGAAAGACTTGGGAAGCTGGTGGCATGGGCCAATCAGAGCTGTGTCCAAAGGTCCTTGGGAGTGGACAGGGTGTGACACATCTCAAGTATTTTTATGGGGACACCAGATCACTGAGGCAAGCCTGGCTGCTTTGCAGATAGTAGGCCCATAAAAACTCTTGACTGATAGGCTATGTGCATGGGATGGTTGGCCTTCTCTGTTTGTTATGCCAGCAGTTTAAACAGTGCTGTGGTCACCAGAGTAGAGGGTAATAACCACAGAGTAGACTCAGATACAGAAAGTAATGTACCTGGACAAGCTCAGGCATGTTCCAGGGAGGAAAAGTGGACTGATAGGAGTCTGGCTGGGGCGGGGGGTTGTATCTACTGGGGAGGAGGGTCTCACCTGAAGAAGCCCTTGCAGCCCTCACAGGTCAGGGCATGGAAGTGATAGCCTGTGGCTTGGTCCCCACACACCACACAGTTCCTGGGCTCATCTTCGCCACTGGATGTAGATTCAGGTGTTGAGGTGGCCATCACAGACCCCTGAATGTGGGAGGAGTCAGCAGCCAGCTCTGGAAAACACTTGACCTTCTGTCTCCTTTCTGCACAGCCTCTCCCCAAACCTGCCCCGGACCTGGTTCCCAACATTATCTATTCTAGAAACAAGAAAGTTCCTTTTTATTGCTGGGTCCCAACAGATTTCCTACCTGTTCCCTTTCAGCAACACATGGCATGCAGGCCACAGAATCTGCTGTGGGATAACTTTCCCAAGCTCCCATGCTGACCCAGCTTTCCATGGTCTCTGGAGTAGCACGAAATGGTTCTCAATGGCTGGAAAACAAGGAGCATGTGTTATATGCGGCCTCTGAGTCCTCAGGTGCCCTGTGTCAATAGGACACAGTCCCTGGACCCAGGGCAAAGGCCTGGGTGGGAGGTTCACCCAGCATGCACAAAGTGCTGGTTGGTGGCACATGAGGGACTGTGTTGGGCAAGGACCTAATGACTCATTAGAAGCTGCTCCTTATCAAATTTACAAAGGGTACCAGAGATGTAGCTTAGTGGCACCATGCCTACCTTGCAAGTGGAAGGACCTGAGTTCAATCTCTGGTACCAAAAAAAAAAAAAAAAATTTACAGAAAGTTTCCCAACTGCTGAGCTTCAAAACTACAACTGTGGCCTCCTGTGTACATAGGTTCTGAATAAGCTGGGAAGACAGTCAAAGAGTCAGCGCGAGCCTTTTCACAGCTGTGTATGCCAGTAGTGAAAGAAGAGATGTAGCATCAGACTCCCAGAAGGAAGTTTTTAAAGAAAGACTTTAAGCCAGGTGGGCACATGCATACCTGTAATTCTAGCAGGGAATTGGGAGGCTGAGTCAGGAGGATTGTGAGTTTGAAGCCAGGCTGAATTACAAATGAGACCCTATCTGAAAACAAACAAAGAACTATAAAATGAAGCCTAGGTATAGGACTGGAAGGAGTCCCACTTCCTTACTAGGGATAGCTGAGAATGAAAACAGAGTGACTGCTAATAAGTTAGAGGAAGTTGGGGTGGATTTGAGAACTCTGGCATGGCTGGCTTCACAAGTGTGTGACCTGTGCAGTCACACAAGAGCCCACATTCAGAGAAGTCCCAGCTTGGTGCAATGCTGTGCTTTGAAATAATGATTCTGTTGTTGTTTTGTTTTGTTTCTTTTTTTGTTTTTGGTACTGGGGATTGAACTAGGGTCCTTGCGCTTGTAAGGCAGGCAGTGGAAACACTGAGCTAAATCTCCGGCCCTTGTTTTGCTTTGTTTTTTAAGACAAGGTCTCACTCTGTAATTCAGGCTGGTCTTGAACTCAGTATGTAGCCCAGGCTGGCCTTGAAGTCATGGCCATCCTCCTGCTTCAGCCTCCAGAGTGCTGGGATTACAGGCATACATTATCAGGAGCTCTTTAGACTCCTGAATATCTGTAGGGGGAACAACAGGGAATAAAAGAAAGAGACAGAAACAATATTCAATTTGAGGCCTATGGATGCAGCTCAGTGGCGCCCTGACTGCCTTGAAAGCACAGGTCCTGAGTTTGATCCCCGGTACCCTCCCCCCCGACAAAAAATTCAATTTGTAGTGGGGGACTGGGAGGGGAGGAATCCATCTCTAGTGGATAGGCTTCAATGAACTCCACCGTGGGCCCACTTTTATTTAGTCAGCAAGGAGCACAGGGGAGGGGTAATGTACTATCCCAGGAGCAGCAACTGTAGTATAGGGTACCAGGATAGGGACCAAGTTTAGCACCTCAAAGGGGGAAGTTAAGGTCCTTCCCCACACGGGGATGTTTGCATTTTTTATCGCCCTCAGTAGAAATTATCTTGTCTCAGGAGTGCTGTGACCACAGCTTTCCCACACAGCCAGGAAGTCTAGGCCTTTTGCATACTTCTTTGATCCTGAGGCAGGTTAACATCTACCTTGGGACTTCAGGGCCTGTTTCCTGGCCCCCACAAGTCTATACATATCACAGCTGGTCCCCAACAGGGGCCACCTTGCCTGGCTTGAAATAATGATTTTTTAAAACAAGGGGCCTTGTTTTTTTTGTTTGTTTATTTTGCTTTTTAGTACTGAGAATTGGACCCAGAGCCTTTGCACTGAGCTATATCTCCAGCCCTTTCTTATTTTTTATTATAAGACAGGGTCTTGCTTAAATCACTAAATTGCTCAGGCTCAACTCAAACTTTCACTCTTTCTACCTCAGCCTTGAAGAGTGCTAGGGTTATAGGCATGTGCCACCACACCTGGCTCTGAGTTCACTTGTAAAGGATGATGACAAATTGGGCAGGAGGAAAAACAAAAACAAACAAGCAAACAAAAAAGCAAATCTAGGCAGAAGGTGCAACCTGAGAAGTTCAAGAGGCTGGATACAAAAAAGGCAGATATGAGGACTGGGGATGTAGCTCAGTGGCATGGAGCCTGCCTGGCAAGCGCAGAGTCCTGAGTTTGATCCCCATTACTGGGGGCGGGGCGGAGGGGGGGGACGTCTATGAGCGCAGCATTTCAGGCTGAGAGCAGGAAGAGATACCAGGCTAGAAAGATGGGATATAAGGTCAGGATGGAGGCAGGGCAGGGCAGGATCACAGGAGACTTCCTGTGTCAGTCTAAGCATCAGGGAGCTTATAAAGGGTAAACTGGGAAATGACATGCTCAGATGTATACTCTAAACAGTTTATCTACTGTGCTGGCTGTTTGGAAGATGGATTTGAGGAGGGAAGACCAGAGGCAAAGAGACAAGTTAAGTCTCATCTAGGATAATGATAGGATGTAGAAGAGAGGAAGGCTTTTAAAAATACAGGTGAAGTGAAATCATTGGAATTTGGTGACTACTAGAATGTCTGTCTGAGAAAGAGGGAGAGGAGTTGCAGATGACTCCAGGCTTGTAGCACAGATGTGAGCAGAGGGTGGTACCACCAAATGGGAAAGATGCTGCTGGAGGAGACCAAGGGTCTCCATGCTTGGGTCTTGATCCCCTTCCACACTTGACAACTTACTGTAGCAACTCATTATCGAGTCCCTACTTTGTGGTTAGGTACCATGGAGAAGGGAGAAAAGAGAGGGTTCCTATTACAAAGACATTTGTAGTCTCATTTATGAAGACCAAATAAAGGAATTTAGTAGACCTTGAAAAAGTAATCAAACTCTAAATTGTGTAATAAAGAATATATATAAATTTTTTTGAGGTAGAGTATCGGAGGCTGATCAGTCCTCCAATCTGTCTAGAGAAGGGGTAAAGAAAGACAAAGAGACACACTTTCAAAGTTTGTGGGGGGTTGGAGGTCCATGCCAGAGTGGGCAAAGACAAAGACACTCCAAGCTTGCCATTATTTATCAGGTCACTCAGGGGGTGGCAGTAATCCAATTTGATGAGGATCTTATGTTGATGAGGATGGTGGGTTGAGGAGGATGGTGAGATGGTAAAGCATTCTTACAATAGTAGGTGGGATGAGATAGCAGGCGAATAAAGAACTTTTCCTTTCCTCCAGGAAGAACCTTTCTCTCTTTTTATTATTACTCAGTTCTCAAGGAACTAGGATGTCTTCAACTGATGTAATCTTGTCCTAGAGCATGACAGCATCATGGGACCATTGAGGCCTTAGCTGTGACTGAAGCACATGGAGCTATGTTTCCAAATACCAGAGCAGGCTAGGATGGCAAGAAGACACTAGGCTTTAGACAGGCCCTAACCACAATTTAATTATGAAATGACCCCCCCCCCAAAAAAAAACTATATAGAATGGCTCATGACAATAGAGACTCGCTATGTAGTTCAGACTACATATGTTGAACTCACTGTGTAGCCCAGAATAGCCTTGACCTTGCAGTGATCCTCCTGCCTCACCCTCCTAAGTGCTTGGATTATAGGCATGTGCCACCACACCTGGAAAGAACATGTACAATATCATAGGTATTAGTTTCTTTTTTAAAATTTTATTTTATTATTATTATTATTTTGTACCGGGGATTGAACTTGGGTCCTTGCACTTGTGCAGAGTTTCTTTATTCTTATTGAGTGCTTGACATGAGCATAGTATGTAAGAACCTACCTGTGGTAACCCTTTAAAATAGGTAATATCAAAGCCAGGCATGGTGGTGCACACCTGTAATCCCAGAACTCTGGGAGGCTGAGGCAGGAGGATTGCCACAAATTCAAGGCCAGCCTGGGCTACACAGTGAGTTTAAGGCCAGTCTGAATTACAGTTCAAGACCCTGTCTCACCCCCCCACAAAGATAGATAATATCACCATTTTACAGATGAGAAAATGGAGGCTCAATGACTTTAAATCACTTGTATAAGGACCAATATATAGTACCCAACAGTTTATTAGATGACTTCGCTTGAATGTCAGAAGGGCATTTCAGGTTCAATATGTCTAAAATGGAATCATTGTCAATCCTCTACAAACTAACTTCTCCCATAAGATCTAAGTTGGTGGGAAGTGGAAAGAACATAAGCCTTATTTGGTTTTTTTTTTTGGTGCCAGGGATCGAACTCGGGACCTTTCGCTTGAAAGGCAGGTGGCGGAACCACTGAACTAAATCCCCAGCAGCATAAGCGTTAGAATCACACAGACTTAGATTCAAATTCTAACTCTGGCTATCTATCTATTTATCTATCTATCTATCTATTATTTATTTATTTATTCATTTATTTATTGGTATTGGAGATCGAACTCATCAGTGCTCTGCCACTGAGCTATATCCTCAGCCTTTTTTATTTTAAAAAGTTCTGTTAGAACTTTTTTCTTTATTTTTGGGATAGGGTCTTGATACATAGTTTAAGATGATCCTGATCTCCCAGAAGGCCCTCAAACTCAGCGATCCTCCTATCTCAGCCTTCTGAGTGCTGGGATTATAGGCGTGCACCTCCATACCCAGCATTGTCATTTTAATTTTTAAAATTTTTGAGAGTCTACCTAAATTTCCCAGGCTGGCCTCAAATTTGCAATCTTCTTGCCTTGGCCTCCTGAGTAGCTGGGATTAGAGGTGTGTGCCACTGTACCAGCTTGATTCTCATCATTCTGGATAAATGAATTATTTTTTTTGCACTTCCTTAGTAATTTGACACAACTGAGACCCAGCTCCACAGGACATGGGAATCAGATATCATCATAGTGGACCAATCCCAGACCAGAGAAGGGAGGCATTCTTCCTCTCCCTAGGGCAGGATTAAATGCTTAAGGATAGTCATACAGTGAAGAAAAATGTTCTAGTCCAGGGCTGTCCCTTCAATGGGGGTGTAGGGATTACTCTGAGCCTTGTTCTTTGTCTTGTTATTTGTCGTTGCTGGGACAAAATATCCAACATC